GAACATTTAAAGTTGTTTTGGCCATTTTTCTGCCACCTGCCATTACCAATGTATTTAGCTAAGCTTATGCCAAAGTAAGTGTCTTAGGGCACAGTCCGCTCACCCCCGCAGCAGATGCTCATAAGCCTCCTAACTTCGAAGCTTTAAAAGTATTCAACACGAGGCTGTGTTTCTTTAGACTGCTGTTTTCATCCATGTAGACTGAGTGCTGGGGAGGAGAAGGGAAGGAACGGAGCCCCAGCATCCCCTCCTACCCTTCATCAACTGTCTTCCCCCCCTCCCCCCGAGATCCAGTTGCAGTGGGGTGGGGTAGGAGGGTGGGAGAGAGCCAGCAGGGTTCTTTCCATGTAGGTTGCAAGGGGCAGGGGCATAGAGTCTCTGCTCCAAGAAGCTGGAACTAGATCTTCAAAGAATCCTGTGGCCTCCCTGGTCATGTGAATAGGCCATAGGATTGTGTCCTTCATCTTCAAAGTTCTTTAAGAATCTTTATTGCTTTTGCTGCTATGCCTCAAGAAAAAAATCTCTGAAGGTTTCAGTTTGAGAGGAAAATACAAAAATCTCTATTTCTTGCTCATTTCGTTTACTTTCTACGAGCCATGCTTGAAATTCTTGTCATTGACACTTGCTCACAAATTCCTAGAATTTCATTCTTCTTTCCTCTACAAATAAAATAGAAATAAAAAGGCAGACTGTGGGTTTGAAGAAAGAAAGAGTGAGTAGAAAGAGACTGCTTGACTCTTTCCCCTCCAGTAATTCTTGAGTTTATAATTATTCACATGGCTATTTTTCACCCCTTTGCTTAAAAAGCATATTGGTTATTTTGAACTGGAAAGTGATTGGAAAGGAAGGTATGAAATGGACTCTGTCCACTCTTCCTGCACTCGGACTTGCAACCTGTACATTTTCCTTTTGAGAAGCTTGGTCTGGTCTGGTCTTGTTTTGTTTTTGGTAATATGGGGATAATCATGACAGAGTTCTTAGTTACTGCACATCTTGTTTTGCACACAGTCTTCACTCATTTGTCTTTAACAATGGCTACAAGTCAGCATGGTCGATGGCATGTCCTTTTAGCAGCTGTACAAAAGGAAATTTTGAGTAACTGTTGTCAGGGACCTGAGAGTGTTTCTTCATCAGATATTATGAAGAAACAGTGAGCATGGATGAGTAGACTCCCAGGTAATGCCCACACAAGAAACACTCTTCTCCCACATGGTAAGAAGCACCTGCTTCCCACCCTCACTACCATCTCATCTGCATTTGCGTCTTTCCACAGATCTTTGAATCTTTGCCAAATCCACAACCTCCCTAAGAGACAGCAGGAACAAAGCCGGAAGTTTTCATCACACTTGATTATTTTTTTCCCCTGGTGGGCCATGTTCTTGTAACATTCTATCTCTTTTCCTTTCTTGATGTGCCAGCTCCTCTGAGCTAGTTCCTTAGAGATTAGTTGTTAAGAGCCTCTGTCGATCACTGACCTGTCTTGAATGATGGATTGGAAAATCCTTTAATGAGTTTTCAAAGCACCTATCAAAGCTACTGTCTGGATAACAGCTCAATGGAAACACAACGGGGAGTGGAAGAGCCAATTAGTCTTTAATCATGTTCAGCTCATAGCCCTGTGCAGCTTTATCTCCTGGTCTTTTACTGTGCATGCTTGACTATGTTTAAACTATGTTGGCAGGATGCCCTTTTGAAGTGAATTGGTCCAGTTTTCTAAAGTGCACTTGATAGGCATAGTAGTTGCTTCACTGGACTTCAGTCTTTATCTTCTGTTGGATTTCCCTTCCTCTTTGCTAAGCTTTGAAAAAGATTGCTTTGTTCCTTGATATAAGTCATGCTTTGAAACTACTCTACTGTACATGGACAGTAACCATCCAAATAAAGCTGCTTCTCATCAGCATAGTGAACATCCAACTTTTCTGAATTAAAAGTTAAATCTAGAAGTTCTTCATAATGAAAGTAGCCTTCAGCCAAATTATTTCACTCCTTCCAAGCTGAGTCAAAACTAAGGTATAATCAGGGTCACCAGTCCATGGTTTCCCATTTTTCAGATTGCTTTGTACATGTTTCTTTGGTAATTCAGCTGGTCCGGTATTTGTAAAAGGCACTTTGCAGTTGCCCACAAACAGCTCTTCAGCAATGTAAGTATTGCCATATTGCCCGTGCCTCCCTCTCTTCCATGTCACTGAGAGCTCTCCTGAGTAGAGATGGATTGACCTGTTTCCAGTCCAAGTTCACTTCCATCCTCTTTTTGCATTAAACTACATTTATTGGGAGGAAAATCTGCATAAAAATTCATATATATGTTATGCTTGTTGAAATATGCTTACTACATACCTTACAGCATAACATATGACTCTTATTATGTGTTTTAGTGCAAGGTGTACATCTATTTTTGTTTTAGTACATCTAAAATGTAGATTAACATTTAAAATGTAGGTTAAATCAGAATGCATTCCAGTCTGCACATTAGTTCACAAGATGCCAATCAGGACTGTTCTCTTTATAATGTGGACTGAACAAAATGTCACGCTCTCTAATGATACATCATAAGAGAGCTATTCTCTGCCTATTTATTTATTTGTTGCTCAGTGTATTTGGAGCATCTGTGCGAGGCAAGTAGAATAGCTTCTTGGTGTTTATGAAAGAGCAAATGCCACTCAGCAGTATCATTTCTGCTTAAGAGAACAACCGTGTTTTGTTTCTTTTTTAAATTTCTTAATGTCAAATATGTCTTCAGAGTTCCCCATCTGTTTAAGAGTAGCTATATCATAGCTTCAGCTTTGTAGAATGTAATATACAGAAGCAAAAAAGCCAAAATCATCTCTTCTTTTCTTCTGTTTTTAAGCACTTTGCATCCTCAGAGCTTTGCTAATGTGTGAGTTCATTTGAACAGCCATAACACTTTACTACAGTCTTCCCCAACCTGGTGCCCTCCAGACGTGTTAGATTGCAGTTGCCAGCATTCTGACTGGAAATCATATGAATTGTTCCAACCCATCTGGAGGACACCAGATTAGGGAAGGTTACTTTAATATATCAAGGGTGGATTCTCATTAATGGAAATTTATTTAGTCTCTTAGGTTCACATGGTGGGCATGTCGTGAGCGGAGCCGGCTGGAGCTGGGGGTCAGACTAGATGGCCCAGGATACCCCTTCTGACCCACTCTGTTTCTATGTTCCCCACTAGAGAGAGAGATTTGGGATGCAGGGTACCATCCCTGGTTTTTTTATCAGCATACTTCCATTTACAGATGGATTCTGATAAAAATAGATTTGCCATCTTATTTTGCATGTTTTTCTTGGAGTGGTGGGAATGCCAGACACAGAGAAAAATGCCTGAAACGACCTGTACTGCTGCTCATTGCATAAAGACTTAGGTGCTTTGTGACAGTACAAAGGAGATACTTTCAGAATGCCTATACCTATGAAACAGATTTTTAAATGATTTAGCCAGTGTGGTCTATAATTGGTGTTGTGATTATTACATTAAAGAAGTATTTATTCCACAAAGACTTTCACTGCAGAACAAAGCTATAGGAAACTGAAGAGACTTCAAGTAGCTTTAAAGGAATAATTGTTTTGCAATCTCAAACAAGGACAGTTAAGCTGAATTAGAGTGTTCAGTACAATCTGAAAACTTGGTATTGGTTTTATTGAATTTATTCAGTAGAGTTTTAGTCTTAGAACATTTTTTGTTTTACTTTGAAGTCAAGGTTAATTCTCTGGTTTGTGTTTTCATTTGCAAAATTTAAATTATCCCCCCCCCAAAAAAAAGAATGGTCAGAAATGAATAAATGTGCACATCTGCAAGTGTTGTTTGATCCAAAAGCTTAAGTCTCTGAAGATATGCAGAGAGGCTTCCTCTGTCAATATGAAAATAATTTCATCTATTGCTACTTAAATAAAACATACTATTTTTTTCTACAAAAGCCATCTGGGCAACATTACAGTGAGAACTAGGCATCCAGAAGGCCAAGAATAAGGTATCAGAAAGCCAGATGCTTCCCACATTAACAAAATTTGCTCACAAAAGCCACTTCTGTGTGGGAAACAATATGTAACCTTTTTGTTTTCAGTGAGGACCTGTTTTGTATTCTCTCACCATCTGAGGCAGTTTTCACAACTTTATACCTCTAGATGTGTTTGACAACAACTCCTATCAGCCAGCATAGGCAGTGGTCAGGGCTGATAGGAGTTATCATCCAAAACATCTGGAGGTCATCAGCTTTTTGAGGAATGTTCTGAGAAGCTACAGGTGAACTAAGGATGAGAGGTACTTACTAGCTCATGACCATCCAGGGTTTTTCTTTATCAGCTATATATGTTGGCACAGAGAAAGGTTTGGAGGAACAGACACAGAAGTACTAGAGTCAGATACACACAAATCAAGAGGTATCTGTAACTCACTGGTATTAGACATGTTTTGCTTGTAGAATGTCCCAAGTTCAAACCAAGGTATCTCTGGTTAAAAACAAGGCCAGACAACTTCACCTTCTTGGGCTTTGAGAGTAGCTCTCAGTCAGCAATGACCAGGTGTAGGCAGGCTTGCAGAGTCCTAGTTTTTCCACTAGGACTGTGAAGTTCACCAGCTAGAGCCAGGTGCAAAACATTGGCTCAGGAAGACAAACCCTAGCACAGAGCTCCTGAGCACATTCCCAGCCAGGTATTTGGACTAGAGCTTGGACAATAAATCCTTTCACACACACAAATCTACTCTTATTTTCTCAAAAGATATCTTAATTTCATCACTCTAACTTAAGGAAATACTGTGTAGCTATTGTTAAATAATTGAAAGTCTGAAGTCTTTGGTGATCTACTAAAGAACAACCAAAATTTTAACAATAGACCCTGATCTAACTTTTGCCTGCTCCTGGAGTAGATGGGATTGGGCCAGATGGATCAATGGTCTCATTCAATGCAAGGCAACATCTCTAGAACATGGAGGTAACTTAATAGAACTGTGGGAGATTTACTTCCATGTTGTTTCCCTCTTTCAGGTGAGCAGGAACCAGCAGTCAGCAGTGATTCAGATATTTCATTGATTATGGCGATGGAGGTTGGACTCTCTGATGTGGAGCTTTCCACTGACCAAGATTGTGAAGAGGTGAAGTCCTGAAGGGGGAAGAGGAGGACGAGGAGGAGGAGGAGAAAAGCTGCAGCAAAGCAAAAGACCCTCCCACTAAACTCAAGGGCAATAGCAGAGAGGAGAAGAAATGGAATCAGCTCTGTAAGATTTGGACCCAGTTGTGTGCACATGCATATACATGTGCACACACACACATACTCATACACGTGTTCAGAACATTTTGTGAACTCCAGTACACTCTCCATTCTGGGATGGTAATGAAAAGCAATAGCAATGACGTGTCTGCCTGGATGCAGCTTCATCATCAGCTACATGTGTTCATTTCATTGGCATTGGAAGGTGAAAAAGTACTGTTTCTAACGCAAGCACCAGAAGAGTGATATGCCTTCTTTGGTTGCTCAGAACTCTAGAACTGAAATGAGTGTTTTCTACCTTTCTTCAGTACTTTTTTTAAGCAGAAAAACACATATAGCCCAAAGTGATTATTTATAGCTCATGATGGATGGACACTGTTTTGCTTCCTCTCAATGCCCCCACCTTTTTCCATAGTTCAACCTAGAAATCTGAATGCTATGATGATTTTCCAGGATTTATGAGTACCCAGTTCTGCTTCATGAAGGCAGTTTGGCTCCAGAAAGAAATGATGCTTCAGAAATGTGTCTTGGCCTGAAGCTTCCTTTCCTTGAAGTCTTAATGGAGCTTAGAGACCTTTCTTTCCAAGGTCTCCCACATCGGAGAGGGGGTGCTGGATTGACTGAGGCTGGTGACTTTTAACTTAACAGTGTTGGTTCCCAGTCAAAGCTTCATGACTTGCACATTGGAGAGCAAGTGAGTGCATTTAAAAGTGATATCAGTAACTATGGGATTAAAGGTCAGCTGTTTGTGCAGTCTTTTGCTATATGTTCTGCAACTGCAGACTTCTTGTACCTTAATGCCTTCCCCATTATTAATTTGAAATTAGGTCCATTTTTTTAAAAGATAACTCCTGGTAGTTTTCTTGAAGTCCTTCTATCCATCAGAACACTGAGGAATGTTCCTGGGGAAAAAGAAGTAGAAATGAGCCAAAGTGGAAAGAATGGGGATTGATGGTTTTGCTCCTAATGGACTGATCACGTTTACTACACAAAGTATATCTTGAGAATAAGGGGTTTTTTGTCACTCTAGTTCACTCGCATTTCCCCTCTTCATAAGTGACAATCTTTCCTTTTCAAGGTTCCCAAGTTCCCCTTTGGACAGTATGGAAAAGAATACAGACAAATGCCCCACAGCCTTTCATTGTATTCATACAATTCTCAAAGAAGGACCAATAATCTAATTCAGGTCAAGGACTTTTGTTCACAGGTGACAGTAAAAGTACCTAAAAATTGAGATACTTCCCCGCAGCACCCTCAATCAAATAAAAACTAGGCTTTTGCACATTCAGATCTACAGTGGTTCAGAAGTGTGCACAAATAGTGGAAGAGGGACTTAAAGATGCTTTTACTGGCATGTGTGAAAATACACTCTTAAAAGTGGTGAGTTTTGTTCATGTTCCCAGAAACATGGAGACTAAAGTTACCACTTGTTCTCTGGCTTTGGACTACTTTGGCTGTGGCTCTTCAGTAAGTGAAAAGAAGAAAAGGCTCTTAGTTTTGAATTCTAAAAGAAAACTGAAGCATGCAAAATTGAATTTGCTGACAGATGTGTGTTCTTTCTTGAATGATAAATACTGGAAAGAGTGCCATTATCTGCTGGAATCCAAGTGGGATCTTGTACTATGTTGTAGCATTAGGGGGATGTGTCATTTATGCAAGGGGGGAAGAATTTATATTTCCGTCAAAATATTCAGTATTAAGTGGGGGGTCAACTTACTGTTGTGAAAGGGACACCATTGCTCCTGACAATAAGAACAGTGATTTACATTACAGCAGGAAAATAGATTTACACAGTAGGTCGTTCTATAACTTAAATAGAAACAAATTATTCTCTCCTGTGTTATACCAGTACTGTAAGAATTGGTTCAGATAGAGCACTAGCCTGTTGTTTGGCTCTACATAAATGAGCCGTGTGCTCACAATCTTTTGCATTTCCTCTATTCCCCCCTTATGTTTTGATTTCTTCCAGTTAGTAGCTACCCACAGATTCACTGCTACACAGTTTACAAAATAGGAAGGTAAACTTGAACATATGCAAACAGAAGCCTGGCACCAGTGCCAAGCATGTGGCAGAAGGTGCCAGGGTATCGTTCCTTTCATGTTTTTTTCTTTCTTTTGGCCAAGCACTTAGTAGAGAAGCACCAGTGAAGTAGCTGCACCATCTGTATTAACCCAGAATGCTTCTGGGCTCCAGTATACATTGCCTGGTACTTCGTGGCCTGGCTGTCTTTCACAGCATGCCACCCAGCACTGAGTACGGTGCACTGGCCACAGCTGTTCAACTCTCTGTGCCTTGCCCAGGGTCCCATCAAAGCAGGCAGTGGCTTTGCAATGGGCCATGGGGAGAAGGAAGTTGAAGCATCTGAACCACCTGGAAGAATTGCTGTAAACAATGAAGCTGCTGTCTTGATTCAACACAGTCTCCATAAGCAACGTTTCTTTTAGTGGCACTTAAAGTTGAACAGCACTTTGCAATGTCAGGCTGCCCCATCTGCCTGAAGATTAATGAGATGAGAACCTTAAAAAAGGCTGCAAATACTTCGATATAATCCTATTTGAATTTAAAGTAAACCAAAATAAATGTGTTAGGACACTGCTGTTTGAGGAAGATTAGGGAGGGCCAAGTGTTCATATTAGGGTCTCTGTAGTGATTGTGCAGCATGTAACATGTTATGTCACAATGCTACCAGACAAAATAAACTGTGAAAATCTACTGAATCATAAGAGTTGCAGGAATCTTAAAGAAAAATGAGCCATCTCTGCTCTGGTATTCAGTTTTGGCTATGTTTGGACTAGAGACTCTGGGCCAGCTGAACTTCAATTTCAATATGTTATTTCCGTGACATGTCAGAAATAGATTTGATATAATGGAGACAACACTTGGTCCCAGCCTGATTGGCACCTGTAAAGCTAAATAGTTTGTGCCAACATAACTCTACCAAAATAGTTAAGAAGTGTGTGTCCACCTGCCCCAGAGGTGTTGAACCTTCGGCCTGGGAACCAGATCTGGCCTACCTGGGGTTCCAGTTCAGGCTCCAAGTTCCCCAGATAAATATGCTCTCTTCCCCTGGCCTCAGTCTATTCCCAGAATCCAGCAAACATTGAGTATTTTCCTGGCTTCTGGGCAGTTTATTCTGAAAGGTTGGAGTCGTTCCCCCACCCACCCCCAGGCTTAGCTATGGCAGTAATCTTCAAATTTAAACATACTAGAATTTTTGGTGTTTGGTCCTGCTTTTGTTTCCACCAAGAGCTTCTCTGACATAAACTTCCACCTTCAGATTAAAAGGAGTTCTACATCTCTGGTTCTATGTTTTCCTTAGCTTTAGGCAGTAAAATGCCTTTTAAGAGCCATGTTGTTATATAAAGATTTTTGTGTGACACCTTTCCCTTATAGTCATATAACATTCATCCATTTGATCAAAGGTACCAAACTCAGAATAGACACAAGCTCCGGGTGCCTATTCTGTTCTCACACAGAGATCAAACATCTAACATCTCCACCAGTATTCAGAACAGGCCGTATTTCAAGTATGACCTTGCAGTAATGCTCATATGCTTTCCTTAGTGTTGCCACAGGGCCATGGCTAGTGGTGTAGGCACAGGGAGAGTGATCCTGTTATACATGTGAATAACATAAAGGTAGTGAACAAAAGGAAGTGTTTACCAATTTTTACGGAGCTCTGAAAGGTATCAAACCTTAACACCAAAACTCTGCCTCAAGTGTTTCTACCATGACATCAGCAGAAACCACCATCAGAAGCAGTGTCCGCTGGCATCAGACATCCAGAGTGTGCCTTTTTCCACACCCCCGAAAAGTAGTGTGGGCTCCTTGGGCTATTCTGAGGCAGTTGGAGGGAAAGCCCTGCTTCTGATTATGCTTCTTGCTGGCAACTGGGCATCAGTCAAGAGAGACTAAAGGAATGGGCAGGTCAAAGAATGTAATGTGTGTACACAATGACGAATGCTCAGCGTTGCCAGTGGCTGCACTGAATGAGTGTGCCACCCCGTCCTACATGTGTTTACTGACCGGGAAAGCCCAATGTATGCCATAGGGGCTGATTCCCACATATACATGTGCATGACTACAGCCAAAAAAGCTTTATAGCAGCATTTCTGCTGATAACAGATGGGTCTTGTTATCAGCAAGAGGCAGGGTATAGAAGCAATGAACTATTTAGAAAAATCTTAACTTCAGAAAGGTGTTTTTTGTGTGAGCAGTTGATGCAAGTCAGTTTAGACCCTTTGCTTTGACAAACTGTTGCTTGAACTAATTGATACTGCTGCTACTATAAGAATGCAAGAATTTTTAGTCTGTAAGGTCTAGGCATACCATATGGTGTTTGGAAATGATTATAGAGTAAGGTAGATGAACGCCCTCTGCTGTAAGACTTTCAGTCTTCTGATTCCAGGTTTTTGTTTTTGTTTTTTTGGTGGCTTATTGCTTCAGTAAGTGGAAATGCAATCACCAGTAGAAATACTGGTCCTTTAGTAACTGGGAGGTGGGAATGGGATGCACTTGTGGTTACAAAACAATGAAATGGAAAATGCATAGAGAATAGTAAAGGATACAAAACAGTCTATTATAACAGTCTATTCAACCACAGATAATCATTTATTTTCAAAATGTTTACTTTCTGGTAGAAACATCATGCAGAAATGAATGCATGGAAGAAAGGGAAAAAAAGAAGACTACACCTCATACACATTTTCTTATTTTTATATCTCGCCTGTTTCTTTTAAAAGGCATCAAATGACACACTTCTTTTGCCATGAATGTATGTATATGGTTATTACAGATGTGAAATATCCAAGTGTTTTTTAACATGTACATAGTATCATCTTTACTTCCTGTTTTCATGGTAAGCAACTTGATGAGGCTATAAAGCATTTTATAAATAGAATGAAATGTAAAGGGGGTGGGTGGGAAGGGCTGTTATTTTTATAGCAAGATATTCCTTATACCTAGTGAACATTTTAAAATGATTTTGTACTTGTGAAACAATACATTCCATCCATTTCCTGAAAATATTTATTTTTATTTAAAGTAGTTTTTAAATAACAAAACCATCCATTTGATAAGAGGTTCATGAAGAAAGCCAAATTGATTTGGTTTAAAATCACTCCAACATTTTCTCCTGCTGTATCATGTAGCAGACCATATACCATGCCAGCAAGTACCAGTGCTATAGAAATAAAATCGAGAAGAAGACAAAACGTGTGTTTACACAAGACATGCTTACAAAACTGTTTACTGTTCTACCAAACCAAAAAAAAAAATGTTCATTATCCCTTTGCGGAACTTAGAGTGTCTTCGGAATGATGAGTCTTCTTGGAAAGTACATTTACTGTGTTGCACTCAGTCATACAGTCTTCCCTGTGCTGTGGAAAAACTAGTTCTTGCTGTATGCAGCTCAAGTTGGCCATGCACACTGCCAATTTGTGGGCTTTCTCTGATGTCACATAGCCACTTCCTTTCTGTCTGTCAAGCAGCTATTTAATTTTTTTAAAGGAAATTGTATTAGTTTTTTTAAGATGCAAGGAATTGATGCTCGGTTGAGTGGATATCCACACTGTGCTATGCGAAGAATAATAATGCAGCTATCGCTTCCTCTTGCTGTGACTGGGGAAAGGCAAGCATAATAAACTGAAGCAGATTGTTACTGGCATTCCAAATGTGAGAGGAAGCCGGAATACATGTTGGGATATTCGGTGCATGTGCAGGTACAAGGGGCCGGTCATAGTTCCTCAGAACAGGGACCGGTCTGCTTTTGTAAAGTGCCACATACATTGATGGCGCTAAATGAGAAGGCTGCAGGTAAAGTTGTTATTTCTTACCGTTAGCAACGGCGTAATTTTCTGAGTAGGGCTCCTCCCAAAGGTATGTATCTCTGAGTCGTTCTCGGAAGCAATCTTATTTCTGTTTGAACAGCAGAAACCATCTGTTTGTAACAGAAGTGCTCCTACAGCCTGTTCATCCTCCAAATATCACCTTGATTAGCAAAATAGCTTGTAGAGGAGAGAGGGAAACCATCAAGAATACCCACTCATATTTGCATAGGCATTTTAAACATATATAGCTTTTTGCTGGCTGTGAATTGTAAGCCTACGCAATGCTGCCGTAATTTGTGAAGAATGTGTTTCTCTACACACTCAGTGAAGTATCGCAAATGTGTTTCAGTTGCTAGTACACTCGCTGTTTCCTTATTCTGCATCCTTTTTGCATCTCCCCCACCCTCCCTTCCAATGCACTTTATACCACTTGGAAAATGTGGGAATTAGACAATTATAATCTACAAAGGGATATGTCAGAAATCAGTTGGCACACACATTGGGTTGGGTTAGGTTGGGTTTTTTCCTTTCTTTCTTCCCCTTCTTGGCTTTATTGTGTCCTATCTGTGTGTTATAGCTTCAACCGTGACTCAGCTGAAGCGTGGAAAAACTGAGAAGCTAAGATGGATATTGGAGAAACATTACTCCTAGTAGTATAACATGGCTATTTTTGTTATATAGAGGATTATAATGTAAATATGTGATACTGTGTTATTCTGTATTAGTAAAATATTGCAACTGTAAAAGTTAAAGGGTTGTGAATTCTAAGGAATTTTATTGCAAGGGGATTTTTTTTAATAAAAACATGATCAAATTTGTGTCATACATTCTTCTTAAGAAATGTATCAGAATATGTTAGAACATGCTGGAAACAAGGTCTCATTGTTTTTAGGGTCCCAGCTAGCTGCCCAGCTAACTGCTGCAAAGGAATATACATTGTTTCTGAACAAATGAAGAAAAAAAACTGAACTGAACTGAACTGAACTGGGTGCATTTGGCCCACTTTTCATGTGGTTCACTATTTGATTCACCTTTTCCCCCTCCCATAAGAATCATTTGATGATGATTATGAATATGCAGAGCTCTCTGGGCAGTTAGCAGAACTTGAGGGAAGGCTTACCAGTCTGTAGGGGATGCTGCAGAGTTGAGCAGCTGTTCCTTGAAGCTGTTGCTGTTTCCTACATTGCTTTGGTGCCATTTTTTGCAATTTCCTCTCCAAAATGCATTGGAATCTAAACACTGGAGCCATAGATTTAGGCACACTTAAAGTAGAGCCATTGAGCCAATGAAATGTAAATGAAACTAAGAGAGCAGTCCTGTGGTCCTTGGAAAGCATCTCAGGAATCAGGATTTCTTGTGCTCCCCTTTCCAGAGCCTTAGACACCCCTACACCTTCAGGAGGGCAACTATAGGATCTAGGCTCTGCTCACATCCTGCTCTGGCGCCTTGCAGCAGCAGAAAGATCTGTGATGCCTACTTTTTGAGGTTACGTGACCTAGCTTGTAGAGGTAAATAAAGGGGTGTTGCAATGGGTGGAGAAATGAGAGAGGAGACCCAGCACTTCCTGCAGCCCCCCGTCACCAGCTGCGTGCCTCTGCTAAATTATCTGAAAGGCCTTTGAGAGGGCCTTTAGAATGGAGAGCAAAAAAGGCATGCATCTCCCCTCCCCAGTGCTCGCAGCAGTGCCAGCAGGACACAGGACTCACAAAAGACTCTGGGCTGTGGAAGCAGAGTAGTGGACTTGGAAGGGGCCATGAAAGGCATCAGATCCACCCCCCAGCTCGTGCAGGGCACCAACACGCTCAGAATGCTGTCAGGTTTCTTTCTGAATGTCTCTAGTGTGGGAGAGCCCACCACCTCTCTATCTGCTATCTCATGGGGTCATGCAGTAGGGGTGGGTCCCAGAAGTCCCACTGGTTCCAATGAACAGGAGAAGGCCAACAGTTGAAAGAGGGAAGATTTGAAACTTCAGGGATTGCTTTTTGCTAGTACACCAAGCCTCAATATCCAACCTTGTAATCTGAAGTTTGCTTACAACAGTTGTCAAAATTGCCCCCAGACTGGCTACTGGAGCCAATCACAGTGACACATTAACATTATTAGACTACAAACCTGCCTCAAAAAGCAGCACAGAAGTATCAAGAAAGGCGATTTGGAGTTTATAATTGCAAATTTCTGCTCTGGCTTTGATGTCATTAGAGTCCAGCAACTCCCTGCCCTTCTTCCTTTCATTGTGCAAGGGGACCACCAAGTCTGCATAAAATGAAAAGTCAGCAAGAATGGTTGCATTTGTTTAGGAACATGCCAGGAGTGAGTCTTGTGACTAGACCCAGCCTTATGGTAAAAGCACGTGATGTAGAAGTGTGCTAGTGACTCAAGCAGGAAACAACACACGTTCCCACTGTCTTCTGTCAACAATGTGAGGAGCTCTCCCATGTGTAGCTCTTAGACTTGTCTAATGACCATGGAAACACAGCAAAGGCTTCTCCTGCCCTAGCTGAGGGTTAGTGTTCCAAGATAACTCAAGTGATCTGTGCATTTTTAATGGTATGCGCCTTTTAGAAATGCACTGTTCCTTCTGTTGCTTCTCCAGTTTCTCTTTCTTCCCTCTTTGCTCTTTGTTGCCTTTTATTTTTAACGTTCATTTAAAATATAGCCATGGGAGGAGGCAGCACCAATGCTTTTGGCAGACAGCCGGGCTGAGTTGCTATGTGATCTGCACACACAACACAGCTGTCATTGATATTATAGATCTTAAGGGAGGGAAATGGTCTCGAATATCTGAAGAGGAGTACATTTGGAAGCCAGTGGGAATGGCATTAGTGGCTATAAATAAATACAAAAAGAGGAACTGCTGAGTCCAGAATGAAGGAACAGATTTTGAGAATTAAATAACCCTGCCAGACTTCTACTGTAAAATGCCTGCTGTTTTCAACAAAGAACAAACAACAGTGTGACTCTCCTGGCTTTAATTTTCTTAACCAAAACAACCCATAAAAGCCTGTTCGGTATACAGCAGCATGAGTGTAGCATTACTGATGTAAAAAAACAAATAGCCTATGAAGAGCACCATTAAGAGCTACTACTGATTGCAGCAATTCAGGTTCAGGGGCCCAGGTAATGAGTCCCCACTTCATTTCATGCCAGATGCAGCACTAAAACTTTGCACATGGCAGAAGTGTGTGAGTTCCATTCCGAGGAATCAGAGCTCAGTCTGCAGAAGAAAAGTGAAGTGAAAAGCAAAGAAGGAACTTCCAGCTGGGAAGCACTACAGAAGAGCAGCTAAGCAGCGGGAGCACTCTGACTCCTTTGTGAGTCTTTGCATGCAATGCAATGACACACAAGCAGAGCTTTGCTTCCTTCCTCCCATGTTGGCTTTCTATAGAAGGGCTGCATATACAGAGAAACTTTTAAAGAGCTGTAACACTCAAAAGGAGCTTTGTCCTTAAAGCAGACTGGAATTGTTTTCCTTGTGCCACTGGAGGAGGAAACCTCTTTCAGCCTGAGGAACAAGTTCAATTTCAGGTAACTCTTCTCAAAAAAGCAAGCAAGCAAGCAAACACACACTATCAGCACATTGTGGATTAAAGCTCATAGAGCTTTTCCAGATGATCCTCATAATTCCTTACAGTTGTTTGTAGACTCTTTAGACAACAACATGACCTTTCAGGTGCTTTTCAGTTTTTCTCAGAGCATCTTCCCGCCGTGATGGTTATTTGCTCATTCATTCGTTTAAATGGGAAAAATGGGTTTTATTTTAGACCAGGAGAAGGATGTTGTTTCTCTTTGCAAACTGCACTATTTCACCATAGTTCAGCTCCACCTAGAGCTTAGGTGGTGGACATGCAGGAAAGGAAGGGCTCTTTGGGGAGCCCTTGAATTTTCCAAATGTAGGCACAAT